ATATTTCAAGCATCTCAGGAAATAACTGAATACCATATTTTCCATTCAAAACAATATCATTTGACAATTCATTGATAAAAAAGGAAAAAAGGAAGGGACGTAATATACAGCCTTGTTTCCAACCAACAGGACAGTCGAAATAATTTGTACAACTGTTCTTGTTAAATCTTACACAAGCTTTCACTGATTTATATATTCCTCGAAGGGCTGCCAGCAGTTTACCACAGAGGCCTGTATTTTGTAGACATGACCACAATTTAACACGATTAACAGAATCAAATGCTTCTTTAAAATCAACTTATGCGACATATAGTTTCCTTCTTGTTTTAGATAAACACTTCTTTATAATTGCATTAAGTGTAAAAATATGATCAACAGTGGAATAGCCCTGTCTAAAACCAGCTTGAGTCTCGGATATCTTATCCTTCAGATTAGCCCAATTTGACAATCTAGAATTTTACTAACTACACACAATAAGGAGACACCTCTGTACGTAGTTGTCAGGATTGTTTATGTTTCCTTAAGCTTGTTTATGGAGAGGAATGATAGTGGATATTGTCCAATCTTCATGAAACAATCCAGTATCAAAGAACTTATTAAACAATGCAACTAAAAAAGGCATTATATGTTTTTCACAACATTTCAACATTTCACATGTAATAGCATCACTGACTGGCGATTTACCATTCTTCAAGTGGTTAAGAGCTCAGTGTACTTCTTCCAACACGACATTATCAATGTCATCTAGAACATCATCATCATCATTAGTTGTACAACTAGCAGTTTGATAGTTAAACACATTACGAAAATGATCAAACCAAGTTTCCTCACTTATATTATTCGTTACTTCTCGTCTGGGCGAAATGCTTCTGAGTACTTTCCAGAACATAGCTGAGTTTGTCAAAGTTGATTTCAGCTTGTTTTGGGTCTGGTTTTGATAATACACTTTGCTAGATTTGCAAATGGACTTATACTGATTTCTTAGTCAGCAGAGGATAAAACAATATCTGCAAATTTGCTAACAGCGAGATTAAAATCAGAATGTATGAGCATCGACAAATTTGTGAGTAACTGACTTGACTGGGATAATTTGTTTACGAATGTTTCAGACATGGAGGAGTTCCATCTGTATGTATACTTCTGGGGTTTATTAGAGTCAGGAGGAATCTTGCTGTCATTATCAGCTTGTTTTATTAAATGAAGACATACTGGCATGTGTTTCGATTCTACTCTGGAATCGACTAGCATCGAGTGGCATAATTGGTGCATATTGACAGAACCTATAAAATAATCTACAACACTGCAACCTGGTTGGGATATATACATAAAAGTACCACAACTATCTCCGGATGCTCCGCCGTTAAATATGTATAAACTATGGGTGAAACACAGGTCTAGCAACTGCTCGCCAAATATATTGGTGGTCTGTTAGGATGTGGTAACATCAAGAATTAACCACATTTCCTATCTTCACTGAAGTCGGATCTGAAAATAACATGGAACACAGAGGTGTAAACCGGTGACAGAAATCATAATCTGATTTTCTTTTTCTTTTCACTGTTCCTCTGACACTATCACTCCTTGTGAATGACATCTTGAATGCACAGGTGTTGTGTTTCTTATGGTTGAGAAATTTGTGAACAATTGCAAGGTGAATGTATTTGTTTAGAGGGGATCATTAGCCATTAGTGCTATATCAGCTGTGTTTGTCCGTGATGTGGCGTCCAGAGTCTTGGAGCCAAACACGCAAAGAACAACGCTGACTTCTGTTCTGCAAAATACCTGGCACTCTTGTCACTTTGAATCACTTCCAGAAGGCTCAGACGTGCAGACATATAATCTATGTCGGAAATATATATATCTTACACTATGGAATATAACTTGATGAATACTGCACCAGTCAACATGGAGGAACGAGAGACTTCTGAAAGGAGCAACAATGAAGGCAAGCAAGACTAGATACCTTAAACAACATAATACCTAGCTGCGGTATGAGGTATCGTATCTAAACACTAATATACGTTTGCGTGTTTTGCAACATCTGACATAATGCAGGACTCGGCGCGAACCAAAGTCACCATGCCAGATGTTCCTCTGGAAGGGGTACACCTGGCAACATACCTCGACCTACGATGTCAGTGAGTGTTTCAGGCAGCGAGACAACGACACCGTGATAAGTAAGAAACGACTCGTTTCCACCAGCGTCATAAACAACAATGAATACGGAACTTTGAATTTCGAACTTTCAAACTCAACGGATTATTCTTTTACAAGGTCTGTACAGTGCTTTTGGTCTTAGTGTGTGAACATTTTGTGTCCAATTAAATAACATAAATGCCATAAACAAAATACGTTTTGTACCATTACGTACCAAGATCTGTAATTTAACTCCGGGTACCTTGAAATCAGTATCGATCGGTTTCGGATAAAGAATCTTGGCCCTTATTGTAAGCAGGCTTAAAAACAATGAGAGTGAATAAGTCAGGACACCAGGATGAGAACTGATGTCAGGACCCGTTTCCTCTAGCATTCTATTAATTTTTATTCAGCCTTGGTCTAGTCTACATTAAAAAAAGAAAGAAGAAATACATTCTAATGTATTATCGGATCCAGAGAGGTGTGGGTGCGTACCCTACACCACCACCCCACCCCCCCTCCATCCCCCTTTTTGTCCTGAAAATGTTATAATGACTATTGCAACTCTCTTGAAAAAGGGTGAAAATGTAGTGTGCCATCCCACCCCCTTTCTCAAGAGTGGGCAACCCCCTTCTCAAAATGCTCCGCCCCGGTAATGTTATCTAACCCTGCTTACTGTGCCGAACGACGCGGCTTGTCTAACCGCCTACAGCGCACAGTGCCCAACAGTGTTATCACGATCTATCACGTGTTACAGTTCCTCACGCTCACAAATGACAAGAATGGCGACGCTAATGTGTGTGTGCGTCCTCTTGTTTACAACAGCAACAATTCGAGCGGCCACGTCGCCACACATCGTCTTCATCGTTGCTGACGACTTAGGTAAGACCACGGGACTTATGATTCAATTTCGCTGTCAAACATTAACATGGCTACATTTAAATTAAAAATACCGACATTTATTTGCTTAAAGTTACATAAAGAAAAGTGTTCATAGTCACAAAATACAGATTGCTAGGGGTGAAATAGACTAACGCTTAGTCCCTGGATATATATCAATTTGATAGTAATAAATAAACCCATATATATTGAAAAGGGGCCCCAGTGTGTTGGGAGATTCAGGGGAAATCTAGACTTGCTTCATTTAGGGCTTTAGCATTGCAGGGAGGGCTAGGCAGTAAGGGAAATAATGTGGTTCAGGGACTGTGAGGGGTGAAACTGTCCTTGACTGTAGTTGAGGGGTGAAGTTATTACCTGGGGGATATTTGTACAGCAAGGCAGGTGTTGTCCTCACGTCTTCATGTTTCCTGGCTTCAACAGTTGTTAGAAGAGCCTCCGAGATCTGGTGTCACGACACCGTGGGTCGTTGCTTATGCAGTCAGCCACTAGTTTGCTTGGATCAGACACGATAACGAATGGACGCCCCGATTTAGCTGAATATTGTAGAATGCGGTGTAAAACAACAATCACTCCCTTGTTTCCTCGATGCTTTCTCTACTCCGGTATGTCCTCATTTTTTGAACCTGTCATAGGTCGATGTAGTCTTGAGTGTACGAGAACTAACCGACGTGTGTACTCAGTTTGTGACGCCTTGACATTTCAACACAGTCGGCTTCGGGGGAGTCACGGGCGAATTCACACGAGAACTATTGAGTGTGTACAATGCGACAAGACAGTTCTTTCTGGAACACGCTCTGCACAAAGTTGCTTACAGTGAATGCGAGATCAATAGACACATGAATACTATGACACACTGCGGAAATCAATAAGAGCTACGGAAAGAGCTCCTTCCGTTCCCCAAACCTAAACCTAACTCTAAACCTAACCCTAAACCTAACCCTAACTTAAATTTTGGACTTTTAGTCATTTTGTGAGTTCTCTAGTAATTGTTGTGTATATATACTGAGTCAAAATAAAAACTTCACATTCCATATTTGTAAATAAAGATATGAATTGTTATAGTAGTTATAGTAGACATTGTCGGGTATCATAATATTAATCCCCAACTATCGAGTCAAAAGAAATTCACCATAGCACATTTAAGTCAAAACATCGTGCATCCCACAATGGTGCTAAAACGTGTTTTTCACGTGCCACCGATAACGTGATCTTATCATTGCACGTGCATTCGACCGCACATGTTCCTATCAGCTGTACACAGTGAAAAAACCCACTTCAAAGCAATATTCAGACCAACTAATTCTTATGCCGATCCTCTCAAAGGTCCAGCGTGAACGTGCCGTTTGCATGCTGCAACGACAATGGGGTGTAGCCGTCGGACTGTTTATGATTTACAGACTCGACTGCACCATTGCTGATCGCCCTAGGCCATGTTGTATTCAGAGTTGTATTCAGTGATGAATCATGATTTAACCTTAGATTCGCTGATGGTAGGATGAGTGTGTGGCGGCGATGTCGTGATAGTTACGTTACGTTGTGTACAGGAAGTTGACAGATTTGGGGGCGGAGGTGTCATGGTTTGGAGTGCTTTCTGTGGGATTGCCCGTTCCCGACTTCAGGTTATAAGTGGGAACCTTAATACTGCAGGTTACCGCGACCAGGTGCTAGTAACACCCGGTGCTAGACCCCGAGGTTATTCCATTCATGGAAGCACATGGTACAGGTCTGCACTTTCAACATGGTAATGCCAGACCCCATACAGCCAGGAATTACCTGCAGAATGCAGGAATCAACGTTCTTGACTGGCCGTCAAGGTCACCTCATCTCAATCCAATCGAGCTCCTGGTAGACGTCTGCGCACTCCAAGGAACCAACCCAAGAATTTACAGGATCTTGGTGCTGCTTTGAAAGAACAATGGCGCCGAATCCCTAATAACGTGTTTACACGACCGGACTACGTCCTTATGGACGATACCGCTCGACCTCATCATGCCAGGGTCGTTGATGCCTACGACAGCAGGAGAACATTGTCCTCAAAAAGTGGCCAGCCAGTTGATGCCTACGACAGCAGGAGAACATTGTCCTCAAGAGCGGCCAGCCAGTTGATGCCTACGACAGCAGGAGAACACTGTCCTCATAGAGCGGCCAGCCAGTTGATGCCAGTTGATGCCTCACGACAGCAGGAGCCTGGCGACAGCAGGAGAACACTGTCCTCAAAGAGTGGCCAGCCAGCTGATGCCTACGACGGCAGGAGAACACGGTCCTCACAGAGTGGCCAGCCAGTTGATGCCTACGACAGCAGAACACTGTCCTCACAGAGTGGCCAGACCGTTGATGCCTACGACAGCAGGAGAACACTGTCCTCACAGAGTGACCAACCAGTTGATGCCTACGACAGCAGGAGAACACTGCCCTCAAAGAGTGTCCAGTCAGTTGATGCCTACGACAGCAGGAGAACACTGTCCTCAAAGAGTGTCCAGCCAGCTGATGCCTACGACGGCAGGAGAACACTGTCCTCACAGAGCGGCCAGCCAGCTGATGCCTACGACAACAGGAGAACACTGTCCTCACAGAGCGGCCAGCCAGTTGATGCCTACGACAGGAGAACACTGTCCTCAAAGAGTGGTCAGCCAGTTGATGCCTACGACAGCAGGAGAACACTGTCCTCACAGAGTTGCCAGCCAGTTGATGCCTACGACAGCAGGAGAACACTGTCCTCAAAGAGTGGCCTTCCAGTTGATGCCTACGACAGCAGGAGAACACTGTCCTCACAGAGTGGCCAGCCAGTTGATGCCTACGACAGCAGGAGAACACTGTCCTCACAGAGTGGTCAGCCAGTTGATGCCTACGATAGCAGGAGAACACTGTCCTCACAGAGTGGCCAGCCAGTTGATGCCTACGACAGCAGGAGAACACTGTCCTCACAGAGTGGTCAGCCAGTTGATGCCTACGACAGCAGGAGAACACTGTCCTCACAGAGTGGCTAGCCAGTTGATGCCTACGACATCAGGAGAACACTGTCCTCACAGATTGGCAACCCAGTTGATGCCTATGACAGCAGTAGAACACTATCCTCACAGAGTTGCCAGCCAGTTGATGCCTATGACATCAGGAGAACACTGTCCTCACGGAGTGTTCAGCTAGTTGATGCCTACGACAGCAGAACACTGTCCTCACAGAGTTGCCAGCCAGTTGATGCATTCGACAGCAGGAGAACACTGTCCTCACAGAGTGGCCAGCCAGTTGATGCCTACGACAGCAGGAGAACACTGTCCTCGCAGAGAGGCAAGCCAGTTGATGCCTATGACAGCAGTAGAACACTGTCCTCACAGAGTTGCCAGCCAGTTGATGCCTATGACAGCAGGAGAACACTGTCCTCACACAGTTGCCAGCCAGTTGATGCCTATGACAGCAGTAGAACACTGTCCTCACAGAGAGGCAAACCAGTTGATGCCTATGACAGCAGTAGAACACTGTCCTCACAGAGTTGCCAGCCAGTTGATGCCTATGACAGCAGTAGAACACTGTCCTCACAGAGTATTTATTGTTTGTGTATCCAGGCACACTGTGGACTATCATGTTGAGTTCATAGGAAGTGTCATATCTGACACAGCACAATTAATAGTGTCGTTTGGTACAGTACACGTTGAGAGGCATTTTATTAACCTTTCAAATGGACAACAATAGGCTTTGAATCAGACCTGGAATCAAAAGAATGATTGACGCAAGGCTGAACACGGTCCCAGACTGACCAGGGACATTGGGGGCACAGTCGCCAAATTGCTGGATCGAGTTTCGTCCCTTAGATGTGCCGGAAACCTATGATCATGGGTTCGGATCTCGCACTGATTATGGTTCCAGGTTTGCCAGCATCCTATCCTTGCTCCACGGTTTCACCAAAGCAGTAAACTCCCAACGCCTGTCTCCTCCCGCACCAAGATGTACTGACATTGGACAGCAACGTCTTGTAGCTGCGTTTGTAGTAGTGTTATTTTAACAAATTGAAAACCAGAAATCGAAAACTTACCACAGCACAATTTCACACTTGGCCTTCGTTCCGTCATAAATAATGACAATGGTAATTGTAATTTACGCATGCGTGATGAGGCGCTGTAGCATTGTGTCATCATGGGAATAATCTCACTCTCTGGTTTGCCTTCGACCGCCTCCGTGGTGTTGTGGTTAGAGCGTCCGCCCGGAGAGCGGAAGGTCGCCGGTTCGATCCCCGACCGCGTCATACCAAAAAGACGTTAAAATATGGTACTTGTTGGTCCCTGCCTTGCGCTCGGCATTAATGGGTACAACAAGGACTGGTCGGCTCGGAGTCAGTATAATGTGTCTGAGTGGGGTATTCATGCTTCACTGCGGCATGGTATCTCAGTGGGCTAGCACTAAAAAGCCAGCTTAAGTCTGGGCTAGTACAAGCAGCCGCACATACACATACACATGCATGCACGTCGTCATATGAGCGAAATATTCTCAAGCACGACGTAAAACCCAATTTCACCTCACCTCACCTCCGATTTGCCTTCGCATGACAATGTGTTGTTGTTTTTTTAAATCCAACTATTCGGTCTTTTTCACCGTTCATTTGGAATTTACGAGTGCTTTCCGTTGTATGTGGGCAACTGTCTGATGAGTGAGTGAGTGAGTTTATTTTTACGCCTCACTCAGTAATATTCCAGCTATATGGCGGCGGTCTGTAAATAACCAAGTCTGGACCAGACAATCCAGGGATCAACAGCATGAGCCTCGATCTACCTTATTGGGATACGATGTCATGTGTCAACTAAGTCAGCGAGCCTGACCAACCGATCGCGTTAGTCGCCTCTCACGACAAGCATGGGTTACTGAAGATCAATTCAAACCCGGATCTTCACACGTACTGTCAGATGAAGTATAATGTATGCATGCCATATTCTCCATAGCCGGTCAGCACACATGATGTGTACATTTGTGGCCAACATTCAGATAACCCTTACGTCGTTACGGAGACGACTGTCTGGAATGTTGTTGACAAGCAGCCTAACACACAACTCACTCTATCATACCAAACTCGCTCTCTGTTATGGGGCCGAATATTACTTTAAGCCGACCCGTCGATACTGTTGCTATATATAGCATGACTACCACCATGCTGTATAAATCAGTTGTTGATGGTATCAGCACTGAACAACTCTGTTCAAGTCAAGTCAAGTCAAGTCAAGTCAAGTGTGTTTATTCACGTCTTTAGGCCGTTGGCCCGTATACATGTTCATTGCAATACATAATTCATACATAATATTTAGAATATTACACATTCAATGATGTTTGCCTTCTTTTAAGGCTATGAAACATATATTTACTTACTGTGAGCATTAGTGTATTATTGTCTGTCATCACGAGGAGCTTAAACTTGAAGATGTTTGGATTATTACAAAAATACAATGGAAAATATAATTTTCTTAAGTCATTATATTCATTTTCCGTGTCTAAATCACAAAGTGGACATATTTTTAGACAATAATCAACATTCGACCATCTGCCTTCATTTACTTTTAACCTTAATAAACCAGATCTTAATCTTGTATACAAATTACGATATTTCTTTACAGTGATGGCAGTTAAATATTTTCTGGAGATAAAAGACTTTTGTACTCCTTATATAACCTATATCTTGTGCAATTTTGTAAAACACTATTCAAAAATTGATAAAACATATTAATAGCAACATCTTTAAAGCGTCGAAGAAATATCAAGTTATTGCCAACTGATTGGCTAATGCATACAAATGGATGGATATAATGGATATCGGCCACATTCGCCGTAAGCTATAGCATTTGGCGTTTGTCGACCAACATTTAGAAATCTTTTACATGCGATAATCTGTACATTTTCAATTTTCTCAAATGTATTAAGTCCCCACACTTCAGAGCCGTATAATAAGATAGGCTGAACCTGTGAATCAAAATTTTTTAAAAATACAGTAGGCTCAATAGTATTTAATTTAATCAAATTATGGAGAATTTCCACCAGTGCACGTTTACCTCGGAGAGCTAGATCAAATGCGCATAGTCATTTTAGAGGTAGAAGAAAAAAATAATACCAAGATATCTGTGAGGTGAGGTGAAATTGGATTTAACGTCGTGCTTGAGAATATTTCGCTCATATGACGACGTGCATGCGTGTGTGTGTGTATGTGCGGCTGCTTGTACTAGCCCAGACTTAAGCTGGTTTTATAGTGCTAGCCCACTGAGATACCATGCCGCAGTGAAGCATGAATACCCCACTCAGACACATTATACTGACTCCGAGCTGACCAGTCCTTGTTGTACCCATTAATGCCGAGCGCTAGGCAGGGACCAACAAGTACCATATTTTAACGTCTTTTGGTATGACGCGGTCGGGGATCGAACCGGCGACCTTCCGTTATCCGGGCGGACGCTCTAACCACTATACCACGGAGGCGGTCTCCAAGATATCTGTATGTAATAACAGTTGTAATCACTTCATTTTTATAGAACCATTTTTTCACATTTTGCCAAATGCCCGCCCCTTGTAAATACAACAACCTAAGTTTTATCTAGGTTGACACGTAATCCCCAAGTGTCAGCAAATTTTTCTAAAATATTCAGTTGACGCTGTAATCCAGAAATAGCATCAGATACTAACATGACATCATCAGCAAACATCAGTAATAATATTTCAAGCATCTCAGGAAATAACTGAACACCATATTTTCCATTCAAAACAATATCATTTGACAATTCATTGATAAAAAAGGAAAAAAAGGATCGGACTTAATATACAGCCTTGTTTCCAACCAACAGGACAGTCGAAATAATTTGTACAACTGTTCTTGTTAAATCTTACACATGCTTTCACTGATATATATATTCCTAGAAGGGCTGCCAGCATTTTACACAGAGGCCTGTATTTTCTAGACATGAGCACAATTCAACACGATTAACAGAATCAAATGCTTCTTTAAAATCAACTTATGCGACATATAGTTTCCTTCTTGTTTTAGATAAACACTTCTTTATAATTGTATTAAGTGTAAAAATATGATCAACAGTGGAATAGCCCTGTCTAAAACCAGCTTGAGTCTCGGATATCTTATTCTTCAGATTAGCCCAATTTGACAATCTAGAATTTAGCACAGTTGTATATATTTTACTAACTACACACAATAAGGAGATACCTCTATAGTTGTCAGGATTGTTTCCTTAAGCTTGTTTATGGAGAGGAATGATAGTGGATATTGTCCAATCTTCAGGAAACGATCCAGTATCAAAGAGCTTATTAAACAATGCAACTAAAAAGGCATTATATGTTTTTCACAACATTTCAACATTTCACATGTAAAAGCATCATTGACCGGCGATTTACCATTCTTCAAGTGGTTAAGAGCTCAGTGTACTTCTTCCAACACGACATTATCAATGTCATCTAGAACATCATCATCATTAATTGTACAACTAGCAGTTTGATAATTATACACATTACGAAAATGATCAAACCAAGTTTCCTCACTTATATTATTCGTTACTTCTCGTCTGGGCGAAATGCTTCTGAGTACTTTCCAGAACATAGCTGAGTTTGTCAAAGTTGATTTCAGCTTGTTTTGGGTCTGGTTTTGATAATACACTTTGCTAGATTTGCAAATGGACTTATACTGACTTCTAAGTTTACAATATATATGTCTGTTATGATGAGTGCTACTATTGCGATAAATTCTTAAACTCTTGCGTGCTGCTTTTGTAGAGCGAGCACAGTTAATGTTATAAAGCGTTCTCCTTGGTCTACCACTTCCACATGGTTTCCTCATACAGTCAGCAGAGGATAAAACAATATCTGCAAATTTGCTAACAGCGAGATTAAAATCAGAATGTAAGAGCATTGACAAATCTGTGAGTAACTGACTTGACTGGGATAATTTGTTTACGAATGTTTCAGACATGGAGGAGTTCAATCTGTATGTATACTTCTGGGGTTTGTTAGAGTCAGGAGGAATCTTGTTGTCATTATCAGCTGGTTTTATAAAATGAAGACATACTGGCATGTGTTTCGATTCTACTCTGGAATCGACTAGCATCGAGTGGCATAATTGGTGCATATTGACAGAACCTATAAAATAATCTACAACACTGCAACCTGGTTGGGATATATACATAAAAGTACCACAACTATCTCCGGATGCTCCGCCGTTAAATATGTATAAACTATGGGTGAAACACAGGTCTAGCAACTGCTCGCCAAATATATTGGTGGTCTGTTAGGATGTGGTAACATCAAGAATTAACCACATTTCCTATCTTCACTGAAGTCGGCTCTGAAAATAACATGGAACACAGAGGTGTAAACCGGTGACAGAAATCATAATCTGATTTTCTTTTTCTTTTCACTGTTCCTCTGACACTATCACTCCTTGTGAATGACATCTTGAATGCACAGGTGTTGTGTTTCTTATGGTTGAGAAATTTGTGAACAATTGCAAGGTGAATGTATTTGTTTAGAGGGGATCATTAGCCATTAGTGCTATATCAGCTGTGTTTGTCCGTGATGTGGCGTCCAGAGTCTTGGAGCCAAACACGCAAAGAACAACGCTGACTTCTGTTCTGCAAAATACCTGGCACTCTTGTCACTTTGAATCACTTCCAGAAGGCTCAGACGTGCAGACATATAATCTATGTCGGAAATATATATATCTTACACTATGGAATATAACTTGATGAATACTGCACCAGTCAACATGGAGGAACGAGAGACTTCTGAAGGGAGCAACAATGAAGACAAGCAAGACTAGATACCTTAAAAAACATAATACCTAGCTGCGGTATGAGGTATCGTATCTAAACACTAATATACGTTTGCGTGTTTTGCACTATTCTTACATAACGTAGGGCTCAGCGCGAACCAAAGGCGCCATGCAGACGGTTCTCCGGAAGGGGTACACCTAGCAACATACTTCGACCTACGATGTTAGTGAGTGTTTCAGGCAGCGAGACAACGACATCGTGATGAGTAAGAAACGATTCATGTTTCCACCAGCGTCACAAACAACAATGAATACGGAACTTTGAATTTTGGACTTAAAGTTATGTACAGTGCTTTTGGTCTTAGTATGTGAACATTATGTGTCCAATCAAATACCATAAATGCCATTACGTACCAAGGTCTGTAATTTAACTCCGGGTACCTTGAAATCGGTATCGATTGGTTTCGGATAAAGAATCTTGGCCCTTATTGTAAGCAGACTTAAAAACAATGAGAGTGAATAAGTCAGGACGCCAGAATGAGAACTGATGTCAGTACCCGTTTCCTCTGTCAGCTTGACACAGAAATACATTCTTTAAATTTATATTCAGCCTTTGTCTAGTCTACATTAAAAAAAGAAAGAAGAAATACATTCTAATGTATTATCGGATCCAGAGAGGTGTGGGTGCGTAACCACCACCACCCCCACCCCTTTGTCCTGAACAATTTATAATGACTATTGAAACACTCTTGAAAGAGGGTGAAAATGAAGTGTGCACTCCCACCCCGTGGGCAACCCCCTTATCTAAATGCTGTATCCGCCCCGGTAATGTTTATCTAACCATGCTCCTACTTATTGTGACGAACGACGCGGCTTGTCTAACCGCCTACAGCGCACAGTGCCCAACAGTGTAAACCCGTCCCGATCTATCACGGTGTTACAGTTCCTCACGCTCACAAATGATAAAAATGGCGACGCTAATTTGTGTGTGCGTCCTCTTGTTTATAACAGCAACAATTCGAGCGGCCACGTCGCCACACATCGTCTTCATCGTTGCTGACGACTTAGGTAAGACCACAGGAATTGTGATTCAATTTCGTTGTCAAACATTAACGTGGCTACAGGTAAATACTACATACCGACATTTATCATACAGTGGATAGTGTTCTCGGCAGGATAAAACCAACGGATATTTTCGGTATCCGTTGGGGTCATATACGGATATCGATGCAAATTAGAGAGGTCATATGCAAATTTCAGTGACTACTTTCACAGTGTAAACAAACATGGCGTCAAGGGTCGGCGGTCGTGTCCGGATTGACGGCCGTGGTTACGGTACTGTCAGTGCTTTGCTCCCAGAAAATTCATGCCTGGTTTTGATAGATGGAGTAGATTACAAAGCGAAGATAGAAATTCATAGGCTTACGAAGATACCAACATCAGTTCCCCGACCGACTGTCAGTGTTAGCGAGAGAACGGTGCACAGTGTCACGCTAACATTAAAGCGTATTTGGTTGTTCAAAAGGTTAATTGAAGGTTTCTGAAGTTCCACGTGAGTTTGTTGTTTTTTTTCAAACGTAAGCTAAGATTTGTTGACAACAATACGTGCTTTAGCATAAAAGCTTACTGGGAACTAGATGAGCGCTGAGTGATCAGGAGAAAATTATGTCACCGGGCATGTGACGTAACGTATTACTCCGCAAAAATTTGTGACGTCATAGACATTCCACGAAGTTTAGTTTCATGATTTGTGGCATTTGAAATCGCATTTTTTTAAATTATAAAGCAAAAATGACATTGTATGATAAGTATGTTATCACACTCGTGTGTTTTGGGATGGTTAATATCCTGCATTAGGAATAAGCATTGTATTTAGCGAGCCTTGGCGAGCCAAATACATAGTGTTTATTCATAATGCAGGATATTCTACCATGACTTCAGTAAACACTGGATTGTGATTGGTTAATTAAAGTCATTGAGAGGTATATAATCACGTTATACAGGTCTCTGTTTTCCGTGCGCAATCATACATGGTTTACGGTAATGCACTATTTTTGTCTGCCCACCAACATGGCGGAATCCAAACAACCTCCCGATGCATCGATAAATTACGGCGATTTTGCTGTCGGAAATTAATTACACATGTCTTTAAAGATGGATTTAGCGATGACGGGCTTGACTCACTACTTGCGTAAATCACAGCAATAGGTGTTTATACATACAAAAGTACTTCGAAAGCATGGAAACAAATATGTTTACGTTGATTCTATGTTATGTCAGACTGCTAATTTCCGTGTTAAATTACTTATCAGCTTTCGTCAACGATATCGCCACTGATCTTGATCCGGTACCGGAGGATGCATTAACATCGAACGCCGAAGAAATTTTAATGCTTTCCGTCCACATAAATAAACAGTTGGGTTATCAATTCAAACAAAATGATATTTTGAAATTTGTACTGTTTCAAACTTAGCGGTAGTAAAACACAATTACAGAATCTGCAAAACCGTTCTGTTTAGCCCAACATATTTTTTTTAAAAAGTATAATATCGTTGAAAAAGTTATTTAGCTTAGTCATGATCCCTCTTATCCATTACACTGCTTGATCTAAAGTAGTCTATTAAAGTATAATTAATTACCTTACCGTGTGTTTTGCCAGAGGTACACCCTCATGTCCTGATCCATCCTTTCGGAAATATCATCACAAATCTGGCTCTTTGTCAACAGACTCGCGAACATGCCAGCGAATCCGATTCAATTTGAATTCACTACACTTTGAAGCCACTAGGTCACAAAACACTTTCCAAAATGTAGAAAATAATATCCGTAGAATCGAATTTGAGCATAAAGTACAATACACATGAGTGTAAGAGTCACCACAGCTGTCGCACGCAGACGTAGAGGTGCGTGAAATCGTCAAGTTGACTGGGCGCAAAATTCAACAGTATCTAAATTCGGTACAACACGGACTTCTCGTTACAGCAAAAGCGCCTCCACTCTTAAATTTTGTACCAGTACCAGTCATTAGATATCAAAGACTATCTCAGTCATACAATCAGGTTAACCTTGCGCAAACTGTCAGAGGCTCTCCTGTAGCATCTTTCCAAATTTGCCCGTAAATGTAAACAATGACTTCCGAGAAAAGGTCAAGGCCACGAGGTTGCTGCCATTATTCTGGTGGGGAAAGGGTCTACGGTGGAATTTTCAAATGTGAACCAAGCTTTTTAAACTTATTTGATATATGTTTTCCAACTTATCAGTTAATGATTGGTGATTGATGCATTGAAAAAACAAAACGTGATTTGTTATTACTGAATCTGGAGTTTGTTAGTCATTGACGGTTTGCCACCAATCATCCCGTTTCGGGCGATGCCACTTGAGATTGGAATGTGAGGCCGCTTCACGCATTGACTCGTAACCAAAGAAAGAGCTCCACCTGAAATTGTTCATAAAATTGCCATGGTAGAATGGAGATAAACCCATTGTATTATTGGGAAAATCAGAGGTATATAACGAAATTATAATAGCTCTAATTGTTCATTTAAAACCTCACGCTACGCGTTCGGTTTTAAATGAAATTTAGAGCTATTATAATTTCGTTATATACCTCTGATTTTCCCACACAGTAGGTTTATCTCCTAATTAACCATCCCAAAACACACTCGCGTGATAACCTATATTTATTTACTTCAAGTTACATAAAGAAAATTGTTCATAGTCATAAAATACAGATTGCTAGGGGTGAATTAGTCCCTGAATATATATCAATTTGATAGTAACAAATAAACCCATATAAATTGAAAAGGGGCCCCAGTGAGTTGGGAGATTCAGGGGAAATCTAGACTTGCTTCATTTAGGGCTTTAGCATTGCAGAGAGGGCTAGGCAGTAGGGAAAATAATGTGGTTCAGGGACTGTGAGGGGTGAAACTGTCCTTGACTGTGGTTGAGGGGTGAAGTTATTACCTGGGGGATATTTGTACAGCAAGGCAGGTGTTGTCCTCACGTCTTCACGTTTCCTGGCTTCAACAGTTGTTAGAAGAGCCTCCGAGATCTGGTGTCACGACACCGTAGGTCGTTGCTTATGCAGTCAACCACTAGTTTGCTTGGACCAGACACGATAACGAATGGACGCCCCGATTTAGCTGAATATTGTAGAATGCGGTGTAAAACAACAATCACTCCCTTGTTTCCTCGGTGCTTTCTCTACTCGGGTATGTCCTCATTTTTTGAACCTGTCATAGGTCGATGTACGCTAGTCTTGATTGTACCCGGATTACCCGGTATGTGTGTACTCTGTTTTGACCCTTGACACTTCAAGACAGTCGGCTTCGGTTGACTCGCGTGTTGATTGTCACATGACTTCGACAGCGCCTGAGGGCACACGAAGACTGTTTTGTGTCTGGCAATATAATGCAAATGTAAACACATCTCGATATATCAAGGCACTGCAGTCCATCACGCTCACAAAATGACAAGGATGGCGACGCTAATTTGTGTGTGCGTCCTCTTGTTTATAACAGCAACAATTCGAGCGGCCACGTCGCCACACATCATCGTCTCTATCGTTGCTGACGACTTAGGTAAGACCACAGGAATTGTGATTCAATTTCGCTTTCAAACATTAACATGGCTACATTTTAAATTAAAAATACCGACATTTATTTGCTTAAAGTTACATAAAGAAAAGTGTTCATAGTCACAAAATACAGATTGCTAGGGGTGAAATAGACTAACGCTTAGTCCCTGGATATATCTAAATTTGATAGTAATAAATATTCCCATATAAATTGAAAAGGGGCCCCAGTGAGTTGGGAGATTCAGGGGAAATCTAGACTTGCTTCATTTAGGGCTTTAGCATTGCAGGGAGGGCTAGGCAGTAAGGGAAATAATGTGGTTCAGGGACTGTGAGGGGTGAAACCGTCCTTATCTGTAGTTGAGGGGTGAAGCTATTACCTGGGGGATATTTGTACTGCAAGGCAGGTGTTGTCCTCACGTCTTCACGTTTCCTGACTTCAACAGTTGTTAGAAGAGCCTCCGAGATCTGGTGTCACGACACCGTGGGCCGTTGCTTATGCAGTCAGCCACTAGTTTGCTTGGACCAGACACGAAAACGAATGGACGCCGCGATTTAGCTGAATATTGTAGAATGCGGCGTAAAACAACAATCACTCCCTTGTTTCCTCGGTGCTTTCTCTACTCCGGTATGTCCTCATTTTTTGAACCTGTCATAGGTCGATGTAGTCTTGAGTGTACGAGAACTAACCGACGTGTTTACTCAGTTTGTGACGCCTTGACATTTCAACACAGTCGTCTTCGGATGACTCGCGTGTTGATAGTCACGGGCGAATTCACACGAGAACTATTGAGTGTGTACAATGCGACAAGGCAGTTCTTTCTGGAACACCCTCTGCACATAGTTGCTTACGGTGAATGCGAGATCAATAGACACATGAATACTATGACACACTGCGGAAATCAATAAGAGCTACGGAAAGAGCTCCTTCCGTTCCCCAAACCTAAACCTAACTCTAAACCTAACCCTAAACCTAACCCTAACTTAAATTTTGGACTTTTAGTCATTTTGTGAGTTCTCTAGTAATTGTTGTGTATATATACTGAGTCAAAATAAAAACTTCACATTCCATATTTGTAAATAAAGATATGAATTGTTATAGTAGTTATAGTAGACATTTGTCGGGTATCATAATATTAATCCCCAAGTATCGAGTCAAAAGAAACTCACCGCAGCACATTTAAGTCAAAACATCGTGCACCCCACAATGGTGCTAAAATGTGTTTTTCACGTGGCACCGGTCACGTGATCTTATCATTGCACGTGCATTCGACCGCACATGTTCCCATCAGCTGTACAAAGTGAAAAAAACCCACTTCAAAGCAATATTCAGACCAACCAATTCTTATGCCGATCCTCTCAACGTGCAGCGTGAACGTGCCGTTGGCATGCTGGAAGCGGCAACGTCAGTAAGCGACGTTGCAACGACAATGGGGTGTAGACGTCGGACTGTTTATGATTTACAGACTCGACTGCAACAAACTGACACCATTGCTGATCGCCCTAGGCCATGTTGTATTCAGAGTTGTATTCAGTGATGAATCATGATTTAACCTCAGATTCGCTGATGGTAGGATGAGTGTGTGGCGGCGATGTCGTGATAGTTACGTTACGTTGTGTACAGGAAGTTGACAGATTTGGGGGCGGAGGTGTCATGGTTTGGAGTGCTTTCTGTGGGATTGCCCGTTCCCGACTTCAGGTTATAAGTGGGAACCTTAATACTGCAGGTTACCGCGACCAGGTGCTAGTAACACCCGGTGCTAGACCCCGAGCTTATTCCATTCATGGAAGCACATGGTACAGGTCTGCACTTTCAACATGGTAATGCCAGACCCTATACAGCCAGGAATTACCTGCAGAACGCAGGAATCAACGTTCTTGACTGGCTGTCAAGGTCACCTCATCTCAATCCAATCGAGCTCCTGGTAGACGTCTGCGCACTCCCAGGAACAAACCCAAGAATTTACAGGATACGTGTTTACACGAGCGGACTACGTCCTCATGGACGATAACGCTCGACCTCACCATGACAGGGTCTTTGATGCCTACCACACACAGGAGAACACTGTCCTCACAGAGTGGCCAGTCAGTTGATGCCTACGACAGCAGGGGCACACTGTCCTCACGGAGGGGCCAGCCTGATGACGCCTACGACAGCAGGAGAACACTGTCCTTACAGAGTGGCCAGCCAGTTGATGCCTACGACAGGAGGAGAACACTGTCCTCACAGAGTGGCAAGCCTGATGATTCCCACGACAGCAGGAGAACACTGTCCTCAGAGAGTGGTCAGCTAGTTGATGTCTGCGACAGCTGGAGAACACTGTCCTCACGGAGTGGCCAGCCAGTTGATGCCTACGACAGCAGGAGAACACTGTCCTCACGGAGAGGCCAGCCAGTTGATGCCTACGACAGCAGGAAGACACTGTCCTCACAGAGTGGCCAGCCAGCGGCAACTCTAAAGGAACTCAGAACTGTTGTTACTGCTGGGTGGAATGATTTCCCCCTGGCAACCATGGCAACCTTGTTGAGAGCATCAGGCAGGACGCTGTCCCCGCATCACGTGTATAATATACGCGCTACTGAGAGTTTTTTTGACAATACATTCGTTTTCCTGATATTTTGATGTTTCAGTTTTGGTCAAATACTCTCATATTGACGAGAGAGCTTGCTATTTATTGGACACATTATATTTGTTGGCACACCACAGGGGACGTTTTCTTTTTTCATAAACCTTCCATGTAATAGATTGTCTTTGGCTATTTCGACAGATCAACAAAATTTGATTCTTACCTTTCAAAGTAATAAGCCTACGTAACATGTGAGTGGTATACACCAGACCGTAGCGGAAGTTGGTGGAGGTTCATGTCGCCGTGAGAGTTTGGTGATGACGTTTCGAGATACAACATCTTGACTTGAGTTGTTTGTTTCTTCTACGACAGGCTGGAATGACGTGGGGTGGCACAACCCCCAGATGCTGACCCCAAACTTGGACAAGTTGGCAAAGGCTGGTGTTATCCTGAACAGTTCCTATGTTGCTCCCCTCTGTACGCCGTGAGTATATCTGTTAAGTATAGTACACCTGTGTGACTCACCTCTGTACCCAGTGAGTACATCTGTTAAGTATAGTACACCTGTGTGACTCACCTCTGTACCCAGTGAGTACATCTGTTAAGTATAGTACACCTGTGTGACTCCACTCTGTACACGTGAGTACCATCTGTTAACTAAAAGTATACCTGTATGACTCACCTCTGTACGCCGTGAGTACATCTGTTCAGTATAGTACACCTGTATGACTCCCCTCTATACACGTGAGTACCATCTGTTAACTATAGTACACCTGTGTGACTCCCCTCTGTACACCGTGAGTACACCTGTTAACTATAGTACACCTGTGTGACTCAACTCTGTACCCAGTGAGTACATCTGTTAACTATAGTACACCTGTGTGACTCCACTCTGTACCCAGTGAGTACATCTGTTAACTATAGTACACCTGTATGACTCCCCTCTGAACCCAGTGAGTATCTGCTAACTATAGTACACCTGTGTGACTCCCCTCTGTACCCAGTGAGTACACCTGTTAACTATAGTACACCTGTGTGACTCAACTCTGTACCCAGTGAGTACATCTGTTAACTATAGTACACCTATGTGACTCCACTCTGTACCCAGTGAGTACATCTGTTAACTATAGTACACCTGTATGACTCCCCTCTGAACCCAGTGAGTATCTGCTAACTATAGTACACCTGTGTGACTCCACTCTGTACCCAGTGAGTACATCTGTTAACTATAGTACACCTGTGTGACTCCACTCTGTACCCAGTGAGTACACCTGTTAACTATAGTACACCTGTGTGACTCCACTCTGTACCCAGTGAGTACATCTGTTAACTATAGTACACCTGTATGACTCCCCTCTGAACCCAGTGAGTATCTGCTAACTATAGTACACCTGTGTGACTCCACTCTGTACCCAGTGACTACATCTGTTCACTATAGTACACCTGTGTGACTCCCCTCTGAACCCAGTGAGTATCTGCTAACTATAGTACACCTGTGTGACTCCCCTCTGTACCCAGTGAGTATCTGCTAACTATAGTACACCTGTGTGACACTCACTTCAACGGCACGCACAAAAATGAATATTTGCATTCATTTGTATGTTGCAGGTCTCGGAGCTCCTTCATGACAGGGATGTATGCCTACCACACCGGGCTGCAGGTGAGTTGGACACCAGCCTCATCATACACAACACTTACAGTCAGCAGGTCCGACACAGACACAACACTTACAGCCAGCAGGTCCGACACAGACACAACACTTACAGCCAGCAGGTCCGACACAGACACAACACTTACAGCCAGTAGGTCCGACACAGACACAACACTTACAGCCAGCAGGTCCGACACAGACACAACATTTACAGCCAGCAGGTCCGACACAGACACAACATTTACAGCCAGCAGGTCCGACACAGACACAACACTGTCACCTGGTGAGACACAGACACAATATTTACAGTCATCTGGTTGGACACAGACACAACACTTACAGTCATCTGGTCTCATCAGACACAACACTTACAGTCACCAGGTCCGACACAGACACAACACTTAAAGTCACCAGGTCCGACACAGACACAACACTTACAGTCACCAGGTCCGACACAGACACAACACTTACAGTCACCAGGTCCGCCACAGACACAACACTTACAGTCATCTGGTTGGACACAGACACAACACTTACAGTCATCTGGTCTCATCAGACACAACACGTACATGTCCTCAGGTCCGACACAGACACAACACGTACAGTCATCAGGTCCGACACAGACACAACACGTACAGTCATCAGGTCCGACACAGACACAACACGTACAGTCACCAGGTCCGTCACAGACACAACACTTACAGTTATCAGGTCCGACACAGACACAACACGTACAGTCCTCAGGTCCGTCACACACACAACACGTACAGTCACCAGGTCCGACACAGACACAACACGTACAGTCACCAGGTCCGACACAGACACAACACGTACAGTCCTCAGGTCCGACACAGACACAACACTTACAGTCACCTGGTCCGACACAGACACAACACTTACAGTCACCAGGTCCGACACAGACACAACACTTACAGTCACTAAGTCCGACACATACACCACACGTACAGTCATCAGGTCCGACACAGACACAACACTTACAGTTATCAGGTCCGACACAGACACAACACGTACAGTCCTCAGGTCCGACACAGACACAACACGTACAGTCCTCAGGTGCGACACAGACACAACACTTACAGTCATCAGGTCCGACACAGAGACAACACTTACAGTCATCAGGTCCGACACAGACACAACACGTACAGTCATCAGGTCCGACACAGACACAACACGTACAGTCATCAGGTCCGACACAGACACAACACGTACAGTCATCTGGTCCGACACAGACACAACACGTACAGTCACCAGGTCCGACACAGACACAACACTTACAGTCATCTGGTCCGACACAGACAACACTTACAGTCATCTGGTCCGACACAGACACAACACGTGCAGTCATCAGGTCCGACACAGACACAACACTTACAGTCACCAGTCACTCGAACTATACTGACGGGCAAAAGATACTTTCTGCTCGTTCAGTTTGATCTCACTAAAGAAGAAGAAATCACAGTTTGCAAGTTATAATTTGTGAAACAATGACATAGGCACGTGGTAAGTACAAACGTTTGATTTTTAAAAGGGCTGATAACTTTTTGAACAGGTAATGGGCGACATGGGGTCAAGCTAGAAAATTCACTATCACTATAAGCGTGAACGGAAGTCTCTAATAGCGAGTATGTCAACCTCTGGCTAGAATATATGCAACACACGTCTTCTGAATGTTGCTGTGAGGCGTCTGATGACGTCAGCTGGGATACGCCTCCATTCTCCGACAAGGGCATGAGTCATTTGCTGTACAGTAACCGGTGGATTCTGTCTCCGTCGAATAACTCTATCAAGGTGGTCCCATAAGAGTTCGATTGGCAACATGTCAGCAGAGCGTGCAGGACGTTGACGTTGTTGGCGTTCAAAGAAGTTCTGTACGACTCCAGCGACACGTGGGCGAGCATTGTCTTGCTGGAACAATATCCCCTGTGGCTGTTGTTAAGAAAACTGTCGGTCGAAGTACCTGGTCAACATAACGTTGGGCCGTCAGATTACCGTTTATAACAGCCAGTTCTGTCCTTTGGTCACCACACATGCCGCCCGAAACCATGACACTGCATCCACCATACGGCTCCGATTCCTGGACGCAGCAGCGAGCTATCCTTTCGCCTCTCCACATGTAAACTCTATCTCATCCATCGCCCCTCTTTATACAGAATCTGCTTTCGTTGGAAAACAGCACTCGACGCCAGTCATGCACAGCTGCAAACGCCTGACTCTTGTCGCCCATTGGAACCTCAGACCACCATATCTGTCTGTCAGCAGCGTTCCTGACAGTCATTAGGCTCTGATACCATAGGCCCATAATCTCCTTGCCACTGTCCTTCGACTCACTGTGTGACCGAGTGCTGTTGACACTGATGACTTTACCGTCAGCACGCGGTTTCTCAGGTGTAATGTTCTCAGGTGGCGGTAATCCTGCGCAGTTGTCTACCGGGGTATGCCTGTCCAGGCCTGTCTGAGGTCTGACCAGTCTGTCGGTAATGCCGACGAAGGTTCCTGATGGTCACGATGGAGCAATTGAAGGTTCTTGCACCGTGACCCGTTGAAGCGCCCATTTGCAGCATTCCTATGGCCCTCTCTCGCTCTGCTGAAGTTAACCTCGGCATTGTAAAGTGTTTTTCTGCTGAAGTACGATCTGCTCTGTAGGTCGTTTTATACAATGCATGCACGTACATTTTACCCTTACTTGCATTACACGTGCATGTTGCTGTTTTCGATGCAAAGTTGTCAAGAGGTGCGTTTGAGCGCTACTGTTGGCAATAACTATGGAGCAATTTGCATTTGATTATATTTTCTTATGTTAATGTTATTAAAGATTTTGCAACATGAAAGTTTCTTTTGCCCATCAGTATATATTGCTTGTGAAGTTCTGATACTATTTTTCACTCCTATCCCATCTGGGAAGTCAAAGCGGATGTATACAATCACCAAAGATTTAAAATTGAGAGACTCAGTCATCTGAAATAGGAAGTAACGATGTAACGAACATTTCATTTCTAAATAACAAAATGACAACATGAATTACTGTTTAGTTATTAGTCACGTTTCGGAGTTTACAAAGTAATGTCACTCTGTGTTTGATAAGGCAAACTTACAATTGGGCAATAGAAACATTACCATAACATCAATAACAACCACGAGGAACATTTCATCCTTGTAACGGATGTGTCTGTCGCTTCCATTGGATTAAAATTGAGCTACAGTCCTATTATTTCCCAGTCTAAGTAAACTTAGGCTCAGTATTATTCGTTACACTGCTATACTGAGTCTACTGTGGAAGGTCGCGTCAGGTAACCTTTTCAATTGACCAATCAGAACACAGCTTACCAAATCGCGAAAGTTGACATTCGCGCATACCTTTTTAACTTTTACCTCGAAAAGGTTTTGTACCCAAACGATTCCGAATGCTATTTTCCGTACGATCGCTTTCGAGTGATGCACATTGAGCACGCCACAACCGTGAGTAAACAGTCGCTGAAAATAGCGTTTTGTCAGTATTCAAGGATGTCAGCTTGGGGAAGTATTAGCTAATGATGACCATGTCAACAGAAACCCAAATGCGTATATTCTGCAGGTCGTATATCTGTGTTTTATGCGGGTTTCCATTTGTTGTGAGATCAGTGTTGGCGACCGGGAAAGAGTAAATCCATTTTGTAAGTCCCGCCGAACCCTAAATAGTAGCCGTTGTCTCATTGCCAATGGTTAAATCCGTTCTGTCGTATCGCGTTTGATTGGACGGTCATAGGTCGCTCAAAGGTTAAGGTTTTGTTAGACTCAGGATAGCAGTGTAACGAATAATACTGAGGCTAAGTTTACTTAGACTGATTATTTCCAGATTTTTTGTCGCTTGTCTCATGTCAAATAGTTATAGTATCATTGTAATGATACAATCTTGTTGCAGCACCTGGTAATCATGCCGGAGTCCCCCGCCTACTTGCCCCCTAACTTCATAACTCTCCCCCAGAGACTCAAGGAGCAGGGGTACAGCACACACATGATAGGAAAGTATGTACACCCGGTTGCTAATTGTTTTGCCTAGGATATGCGTTGATCAGTCGTCTAAGGGCTGCATTTCACTATACCGAGTTACCTCCCTTAGGTGCACCAGCATCTGACGCTCGTTGATTCCCTTTGGTATATAGACCATCATGGGAAGGCTGGTTTGCCCACAACTTATCATTCGTGAATGAGGGAAATATATGACGCACTTATGCAGAGTAACAAATGAGGATTATAAGCACCATACCTAACTCAATGTCTACTTACCGTGTACAAAACCTTACACGTTCCCCGGAAGGAAGCTCAATATTTTTCTACGCGGCGTTTAACCAATTCATGTTTCGTCACGAATACAGATGGCACCTAGGGTTTTGCAACTGGATGTACACCCCGACCTACCGCGGTTTCGACAGCTTCCTCGGCTACTACAACGGTGCTGAAGACTACTACACCAAGAAAATGCGAGGTAAGAATAATGGCTAGAATGTAAAGTGAGTGAGTGAGTGAGTATGGTTTTACACCGCTTTTAGCACTATTGCAGCAATATCACGGCTGAGGATACCAGAAATGTGCTTCACACATTACCCATGTGGGGAATCGAACCCTGGCCTTCGGCGTGACGAGCGAAGGTTTTAAGCACTAGGCTTAACACACACAAAACCCCACCCACCCACCCACCTAACCCACACACACACACACACACACACCTGAGTGAAAGTATGAGTGGTGACATAATGTCAATCACAGTGAGAGACCCTCTCATACAGCACAGGAGTGAGTTAGTGAGTGAGTATGGTTTTTTGCCGCTTATGGCAATATTCCAGCAATATCACGGCCGGGGACACCGGAAATGGGCTTCACACATTGTACCCATGAGGGGATTCGAACGCTGGTCTTCGGCGTGACGAGCAAACGCTGTAACCACTAGGCTACCCCTACCACAGAGGGATATTTCTTGAAATTATGCCATCCACATCGTACATTGTAACTTGAACAAATCTTTGAGAAAACAGAAAACTTTACACGTTTATGTAGACAGGTTTTATTTTTCATTGTAATTTGATATTGAAGAAGTTATGTTCCCTAACTGACGAAATTCATGTGCCAATGTTCCGTGATACAAACGTTATTTTGCTTTATATTTATATTCACTACTATTCTTGGGATAAGGGGAAATACCATTCAATTGGAAAACAATAACGGCGATATGTGATAGCGAGGATGAGTCATAACTAAGTGTAGTGGTGTGTGGTCCTTGACGTAGAGCTTAGGTCATAATCAGTTGAAGCTTAGCAAGGTTGGGCGCGGAGATTCCTTGGATGGGTGACCGTCTTTGGCATCTTGACTCCTGAGAGTGTTTAGGACTTCAGTCCTGCCGTACAACGAAGCACATGAGACATGAGGTCTCATCTTAGGCAAGTGGGCTTGTTCAAAATTGCCTCTGTTCACCCAGCAGAAAATGGGTACCCGATGGGACAAGTCATCTAACCATTAACCTTCTGGCTTGGGTTATCCGGGGTAATGATAATCAGATTGTGACTTTGTGATGCGCCGTTGAAGTGCCTCGAGCTAGATTCCAAGCCCCATAGGAATCCACTATTTTATTATTACTAAGTAAAAAGGCGTATTTTGAATGTCATGTCTCAAACACATCTAAACTGATTCTCATCACTTCTGAATAGATAGCTGACCAATTGACCTGTCATTTCAGGTGGACTGATAGCGAACGGGTTGGACTTCCGGGACAATAAACAGCCCAAGCACACAGAGGAGTATTCAGCTGTAAGATACTCACACAACACTCTCACCACTTACATGCCAGCTGACGGTTACTGGTCGTACACCTACCTCTAGCCCCATACATGTTGACAGGACAATCTTCTGAATTCCTGCTCGGTTAATGCAGTCGATGGATTCTCTCATTATTGTTCAGATTTATATTCATATCACCGATTATGAGGGGGGATCTCATAATCGGTGTCTCATATTTGATCAACAATTTTCGAAATGGATTTTGTATCTGTTCCTGATAATTACATATCACTTGATGGACGTGGTTTTAAACGAAGTGGTATATGTTGAAGCTTAAAATCATGAATATTCCTTTCTTAAATGAAGCTAGAGATATTCATTTTCTTCCAGAATGTGTACGCCAGAAGAGCAGTGAACATCATCAAGTCACACAACCAATCAAAGCCTCTCTTTCTCTACCTCCCCTTCCAGTCGGTACATACCCCCATAGAGGTAGGTCAGGGTAATATCAGACAGTCAGCACAACCCCCTATAAAGGTAGGTCAGGGTAATATCAGACAGTCAGCACAACCCCCATACAGGTAGGTCAGGGTAATGTCAGACAGTCAGCACAACCCCCGTACAGGTAGGTCAGGGTAATGTCAGACAGTCAGCACAACCCCCATACAGGTGGGTCAGGGTAATATCAGACAGACAGCACAACCCCCATACAGGTAGGTCAGGGTAATGTCAGACAGTCAGCACAACCCCCGCATTGCAGGTAGGTCAGGGTAATGTCAGACAGTCAGCACAACCCCCATACAGGTGGGTCAGGGTAATATCAGACAGACAGCACAACCCCCATACAGGTAGGTCAGGGTAATGTCAGACAGTCAGCACAACCCCCGTACAGGTAGGTCAGGGTAATGTCAGACAGTCAGCACAACCCCCATACAGGTGGGTCAGGGTAATATCAGACAGTCAGCACAACCCCCATACAGGTAGGTCAGGGTAATATCAGACAGTCAGCACAACCCCCGTACAGGTAGGTCAGGGTAATATCAGACAGTCAGCACAACCCCCATACAGGTAGGTCAGGGTAATGTCAGACAGTCAGCACAACCCCCATACAGGTGGGTCAGGGTTATATCAGACAGACAGCACAAGCCCAATACAGGTAGGTCAGGGTAATATCAGACAGTCAGCACAAGCCCTATACAGGTAGGTCAGGGAAATATCAGACAGTCAGCACAACCCCAATACAGGTAGGTCAGGGTAATATCAGACAGTCAGCACAAGCCCAATACAGGTAGGTCAGGGTAATGTCAGACAGTCAGCACAACCCCCATACAGGTGGGTCAGGGTTATATCAGACAGACAGCACAAGCCCAATACAGGTAGGTCAGGGTAATATCAGACAGTCAGCACAAGCCCTATACAGGTAGGTCAGGGAAATATCAGACAGTCAGCACAACCCCAATACAGGTAGGTCAGGGTAATATCAGACAGTCAGCACAACCCCCGTACAGGTAGGTCAGGGTAATATCAGACAGTCAGCACAACCCCCATACAGGTAGGTCAGGGTAATATCAGACAGTCAGCACAAGCCCAATACAGGTAGGTCAGGGTAATATCAGACAGACAGCACAAGCCCAATACAGGTAGGTCAGGGTAATATCAGACAGTCAGCACAACCCCAATACAGGTAGGTCAGGGTAATATCAGACAGTCAGCACAAGCCCAATACAGGTAGGTCAGGGTAATATCAGACAGACAGCACAAGCCCAATACAGGTAGGTCAGGGTAATATCAGACAGTCAGCACAAGCCCAATACAGGTGGGTCAGGGTAAAATCAGACAGACAGCACAAGCCCAATACAGGTAGGTCAGGGTAATATCAGACAGTCAGCACAAGCCCTATACAGGTATGTCAGGGTAATATCAGACAGTCAGCACAACCCCCATACAGGTAGGTCAGGGTAATATCAGACAGTCAGCACAACCCCTATACAGGTAGGTCAGGGTAATATCAGACAGTCAGCACAACCCCAATACAGGTAGGTCAGGGTAATATCAGACAGTCAGCACAACCCCCATACAGGTAGGTCAGGGTAATATCAGACAGTCAGCACAACCCTATACAGGTAGGTCAGGGGGTAATATCAGACAGTCAGCACAACCCTATACAGGTAGGTCAGGGTAATATCAGACAGTCAGCACAACCCCTATACAGGTAGTGACTGTCCCATTAATTAGGGAGATAAGCTATGGCAGACACTTCAGATCATTCAGCTTTTCACAGCAGATACCTCTGATGGATCAACTGCCATAATATGTCGGGAGGTAGTGTATTCAAGTGATTGTTTTGAGCAGTGCGTGATACCAAGCCTTGGTGTACCTTGTTGCAATATTGCTAAAACGTAGACCACACGCTCACCACAATCACAACCAACCAACGGTCTATAAACGACGAGATTCACTGTTCACAACAGGACTGATGCTGATGGATGTGTGGTCTGTTCCAGGTACCCAAGCGCTATGAAAACATGTATCCGAATATAGAGGACACACAGAGGCGCCAATACTGTGGTGAGAAAATAAGGGCCTGGTGATATTTGAATACCACAAAATGCATATATGTCATCCTGAATCACGAAATGTTCATCGCCATCTTGCATGAATGTACCACGAAATCCTTAAAGGTTTTGGAAAATACGTACAATATTCCAGTTTTATCACCGCGCAGCGGCCTAGGGACCACTTAATAATCTATGACTTAAGGTGGGGGGAGGGACTGATTTTAAGCAGATTTGCTTACCATTGATCCAGTGTTGCACAATACACGTATACCAACAACTGTTGCCGGTATAGCTTTGGGTGTCTACAGAATGTACTGCTGGCAGGGGGACACTAGCTCCACACATAACCATTTCCAATGTTTGCAGGTATGGTGTCTGCCCTGGACGAGGCTGTGGGGAACATCACACAGGCCCTGGAGGACACTGGGCTGATGAACAATCTCCTCCTGGTCTTCACAGCAGACGTAATGTCCTTATATCTTGGGGGCGTAGGGTAGCCTAGTGGTTAAAGCGGGTACGCGTCATGCTAAAAACATGGGTTCTATTCCCACCCTAACGCGTTCGTTCACTCTCTTTACAGCCTTATATCTTTCAAAACAATGTCATCAGACCTGAATTGGAAATTGTCTCGAAAAGTAATCAAAAATGACTCTCCTACTAACATTCCATGTGTATTGTGTGTACACAATGTTTTCAAGAATGGGGGTCCGACATATACTGCTGCCAACAACCTTCCCCTGAGGGGGGCGAAGACGACGCTGTGGGAAGGGGGTACCAAAGGGGCAGCGTTCGTCTACAGTAAGACCTTACTCCGAAAGTCAGGATATGAGAATACTCAGTGAGTATTAACTTGGCGCTTGCCCACTGGCAGATTCATACCTGAATACACCAGCTCTGTAGTCATTACCTGAAAACACCATTTCTGTAGCCATTACCTAAAAACACCAACTCTGTAGTCATTACCTGAAAACACCAACTCTGTAGTCATTACCTGAAAACACCATTTCTGTAGTCATTACCTGAAAACACCATTTCTGTAGTCATTACCTGAAAACACCAACTCTGTAGTCATTACGTGAAAACACCAGCTCTGTAGTCATTACGTGAAAACACCATTTCTGTAGTCATTCCGTGAAAACACCATTTCTGTAGTCATTACGTGAAAACACCAACTCTGTAGTCATTGCGTGAAAACACCATTTCTGTAGTCATTACGTGAAAACACCATTTCTGTAGTCATTACCTGAAAACACCAACTCTGTAGTCATTACGTGAAAACACCATTTCTGTAGTCATTACGTGAAAACACCATTTCTGTAGTCATTACCTGAAAACACCAACTCCGTAGTCATTACGTGAAAACACCATTTCTGTAGTCATTACCTGAAAACACCATTTCTGTAGTCATTACCTGAAAACACCAACTCTGTAGTCATTACGTGAAAACACCAGCTCTGTAGTCATTACGTGAAAACACCATTTCTGTAGTCATTCCGTGAAAACACCATTTCTGTAGTCCCTACGTGAAAACACCAACTCTGTAGTCATTGCGTGAAAACACCATTTCTGTAGTCATTACGTGAAAACACCATTTCTGTAGTCATTACCTGAAAACACCAACTCTGTAGTCATTACGTGAAAACACCATTTCTGTAGCCATTACGTTAAAAACACCATTTCTGTAGTCATTACGTGAAAACACCAGCTCTGTAGTCATTACGTGAAAACACCATTTCTGTAGTCATTACGTGAAAACACCATTTCTGTAGTCATTACCTGAAAACACCAACTCTGTAGTCATTACGTGAAAACACCAGCTCTGTAGTCATTACGTGAAAACACCATTTCTGTAGTCATTACGTGAAAACACCATTTCTGTAGTCATTACGTGAAAACACCATTTCTGTAGTCATTACGTGAAAACACCATTTCTATAGTCATGACGTGAAAACACCATTTCTGTAGTCATTACCTGAAAACACCAACTCTGTAGTCATTACCTGAAAACACCATATCTGTAGTCATTACGTGAAAACACCATTTCTGTAGTCATTACGTGAAAACACCATTTCTGTAGTCATTACGTGAAAACACCATTTCTGTAGTCATTACCTGAAAACACCATTTCTGTAGTCATTACGTGAAAACACCATTTCTGTAGTCATTACCTGAAAACACCAACTCTGTAGTCATTACGTGAAAACACCAGCTCTGTAGTCATTACGTGAAAACACCATTTCTGTAGTCATTACCTGAAAACATCATTTCTGTAGTCATTACGTGAAAACACCATTTCTGTAGTCATTACCTGAAAACACCATTTCTGTAGTCATTACGTGAAAACACCATTTCTGTAGTCATTACCTGAAAACACCAGCTCTGTAGTCATTACCTGAAAACACCATTTCTGTAGTCATTACCTGAAAACACCATTTCTGTAGTCATTACGTGAAAACACCATTTCTGTAGTCGTTACGTGAAAACACCAGCTCTGTAGTCATTACGTGAAAACACCATTTCTGTAGTCATTACGTGAAAACACCATTTCTGTAGTCATTACGTGAAAACACCATTTCTGTAGTCATTACCTGAAAACACCATTTCTGTAGTCATTACCTGAAAACACCATTTCTGTAGTCATTGCGTCAATTAATTGTAGGTCATGCTGTTGCAGCAATATGCATTCCGAATTTGACAAACCATGATTGTGGTTGATGCATGAAATTAGCAAATATGCAAATCGATACTACGAGTTTAAGAGTTCAGAAGCAAATGAGTTTTGCGATGAGTTTTGTACTAACTGACAATTTAAGCTGAAGGAGCCTAAATGTGTGTCTTCGTGTGTCTTAACGCGGCCTGTAAATATAAGTTATTAATCGCAATATGGGGATATGATGACACACGATTGGCACGTCACGTTGACAAGTAGAACGTCGTTAGTGAGCAGTAACGACATCACGGGAATCTGGGGATTACAAGAGAAAAGAAGGGGTAGTAGGCACGGATAGTAGGCAGGCGGAGCTTGTACACACTTACACAACTACAGGACGGCGTCCAGAATGTTACCCTGACTATATAAAGGAAGCTGAGCTACAGTTCTCAGTTTGTTTCCCATTTCAGGATGATACACGCATTCAGACTGGTTCCCTACATTTTGTTCGGCTGGCGGGTGGGCAAGCAGGTAGGTCAACAACAAAATAGGGATCGTTACCATCATTATTATAGTCATATGTTTTCTTGCGAGGGGGCCGCTTGCTGGTGGAGGGGGTCCATCACATTAAACATGCTTCTCCATAAAAATCATCATCACCCCCCTAGCCATAAATTATGAACGGTGCCTTACCCTTCTGTGTGTTTGAGGGGGTTATACAGCTGGATAATATTGCTGAATTGTTTATACGGTTAACCCAACGTGTCAAACAATATCACTGTGAAGTATAGCGAGTGCTGACATAGGTTTCTGTTAAACAACAATAAGATTCGACGACAGACGGTGTCGACCAATGGAAGACCTTGAGCGAAGGGAAGCCTACTCAAAGGACCGAATTCGTCTACAACATAGATGAAATTTTTAAGAATGGTGCAATCAGGTATGGATCTCCAAAACATCTATATTAAGTAAAGTAATTTTCTGACAACAAACTATTTTGTTGTAATTTGGGGTGGTTTTCCAGTGTGATAATAACACTGCAATGCAGTCAGAGGTACAGATAAGCTGTGTATCTGCGTAAATTACGCAAATATTTATGTGAAAACTCAATTCCTATTAAGTCTATTGCGTACAAGTACGCTTGAAGTTTTGTAAATACTCAATAAATGTGATCTTACCAGCGTACACACAACGCTGTCGAAATGTCGAAACGTAGCTTGCGTACTGACGTAACTGACGTATATTGAGAGGTTCTGTTTTAGGATATGAACTTGACAACTTGCAGTCTTTCTTATCGTTTCTCATATTACAGATCAAATGTAAATCACAAACACTAACATTTAAACTTTATTATATTTTTAAAATTAATGGAAAATGGCAAAAAAACAAATTGAGTTTGAGTGAGGTGAGTACAATTTATTTGGTTACTCAAAGGAAAATTGGGATACCCAATTGAGATGAAGATAAGCGACTACATAACTCAATGACCCGAAACGTTATCTGTAGCTCTGAATGCACCATTGTCCTGTTGGAGAACGGGTTTTACATTAATGGCTCCAAAAGGGGCGCGACGTGGACGTTTTTTGTTTAATTATCATTGGCTCTTTAACCATATTTGTAATTTACAAGGGTTGGCGACATGAAACTAATAGAGGGCAGCCCTGGTATGTTCAATGGGTGGTACCCGTTGCCCCGGGTGACAAAAGAGGATGCCGACTTCGACCCGGAACTTCTCAACATGACTGATGCCTCGAGCGATACCTATATCTACAAGCTATTGAAAACCCACTTTGACGGTGTGCGGAGAACGGAGTACCGGCTGTTTAACATATCGGGTGAGGAGTCGCGGCAAGATGAGTGAGTGAGTGAGTTTAGTTATACGCCGCACTCAACAATATTCCAGCTACATGGCGGCGGTCTGTAAATAATCGAGCCTGGACCAGACAATCCAGTGATCAACAGCATGAGCATCGATCTGCACAACTGGGAACTGATGTGCGGCAAGATGAAGTAATGGCGATGAAATCACGATATGGAACCCAAATACGGTCGTCCTTCCAGGAATATCCCTCATTAGTTGCTATAGACATCCATGGCATTCGTCCCTTATTCCATAAATTCTAGCCAAGTTCGATAACGTTGGAAACTTGACGCTTGTAGTCAGTTATCTCCCTTGCCTCGGAAAGATGCAGATGTTTTTCTGAAAGCTTTGGTGCCGAATCCATGATCATATGTTCCTGTCACGCCTAAGGGACAGAAACGTTCTTAGACGATTGGGTCTCCCGTTCCCCTAACTGGAGTGAGTGAGTAGGGTTTTACGCCGCTTTTATCAATATCACGGCGGGGGACACCAAAAATGGGCTTCACACATTGTATCCATGTTGGGAATTGAGCCCGGGCATTCGGCGTGACGAGCGAACGCTTTAACCACTAGGCTACCCCACCGCCCCTGCTTACACTATGAGTGTCGAGGTTATTGCGCAGTTTTTAGTGACGTTAGTGCATGCTTTGTGTGGCATGAGTGAGTGAGGATACACGTCATCATCAGACAATGTAACGTTACATTTGTTTCAGCTGATCCTACTGAGCACTTCGACTTGGCCGAAAAGTACCCGGATATCGTGTCTCAACTTAAAACGAAGCTCGACATCTACAAGAAATCCCTACACCCAGCCTTTGACCCTTCGTCTACGTTCAAAGCGAATCCTCTGTTTTATCACGGTGTGTGGAGCCCGGGCTGGTGTTAGTTCTGAACCAGAAAGTAGTTAAACGACGCAAAGGAACCGGCAACATATCAGATGGCTACTTATTACATGTATCTTAAAGGAGGCAACAGCAAGTTGACTGGACCAACAAAAAGAACAAATTACTTTTGTTAAACCATGACCTGATTATTTTGTCCCAAATATATATTGAACAACCTACCGGTATTTTGTTTTCAAAACTATCCCCTGGTATCGCTCTCTCCTCTTCTCCCTTTCATTTGCATCTCTGTGTGTTTAAGTTAATTTTCACCGTTTCGCCACGGAATGATTTGCCCCAACTCATTGCGTAGGTATTTATTTAGGCACTATGAGCTAAATCTGATAAAATGTTTGGTAAAGTTTAAAATTATAAAAGACCCGGATTTCCTTTCCGATGACAAAGCTCAAATTTTACAGTTCATGTTTGTCCATACTCTCTCTCCGCCCTATCTGGGGCTGGTATGATATTCTCTGTCTGTATGTATTTGCTTGCCCACACGTGTGTGCGTGCGTGCGTGCATGCGTGCGTGCAAACAATTGTGCATATCATGTCAAAATGGTTAAAGACTATTGTTGAAATAGGAGTTATTCTCTTTATGTGTTGATTAATTAATAGTGAGTATTTTCCAAATTTGTCGTCGGTTTGTCTCCAAGTGACAAGCAATAACCCTATTCAAAAGACACGGTCACCAAATTGAGTTACGGTGGCTGCCGTTTATACCGTGTATCTGTAATCGAGTTGTAGACTCTCACCATGGAGCAGACGAACCAAATATCTTATATGTGTTAAATGTATGAATGCTTCTGTGAATTTAAAGAATGTATCAATTTCGCGTTTGGTTTGTTTTCACATATTTTTTCATTGTAATACTCAATTCAAGTCTAACCAGTTATGATTATTTACACAATTTACTTATTCTTTTACCTGTTCTCAGCCCATGACATTGTAACCCCTCACATATAATCATTTTTTACGATTTAAAGCTGTGTATTTTTCTGTCGAATAAAAATTAAATGTTGGATGTGTTCTGTGATTCTCAAACTTGTTCAATTTACAAAAAGTGTTTCAAGAGATGTAAAATCCATCGAAGTCAAGAACAAAGCTTGTTCCTATTTAAGGGAGTGAAGTCATAGTCTAATGCATGGGACAGACATTCAGTAAACTCGATAAGCTGGAACAATAGTCACATAGTAACAAATTGAATGTTTACTATGAATACCCAGAATTAGAATTTTCATTTAAATCTCATATCTGACTTATAAAAGTAAAAGAATGTTGAAAACTTTATTCATCAAATATCATATGTTTACAACTGACTGGGGCAGTGGGGTAACCTAGTAGTTAATGCATTCACTCGTCACGCCGAAGACCCGGGATGGATTCCCTACATGGGTACAATGTGTGAAGCCCATTTCTGGTGTCACCCGCCGTGATATTGCTGGAATATTGCTAAAAGCGGCGTAAAAACCATACTCACTCACTCTCTTAAAACTTAATGTACTTGAGGAAGCGAACGTAAAATATCTCCTGCTGACACACGCACGCACGCACGCACGCACGCACGCATGCACGCACACACACACACACGCGCGCGCACACACACACACACATGGTAGTATGGGTAAAGGTCAAGGTCGAATGTCGTCACTCTCAATAGTATAGTGACGTCATCTATTTTGTTCCATGACGTTTCCATATTTGTAACAAGTGTGTCAGTGACCTCCATCGTTTGTTGTTAGTAGTAAATGCTTCAAAACCGATACCGTTGTTTGTTTTTTATTTATTAAAATATCTATCCATCTAGCTATAATAACGGTAACGCTATTTTTCAGGGCATTATCATGTGCAGAAGCCCTCGGTCTTTAATGAAAGACGTCGGGCTTCTGCAAATGACAAAGCCCTGTAAAAGAGCGGTACCGTATCGAGTACATCACACAGATCTCAGCAATGAAATAATAACAATTTAACCATCTTACCATCTCTTGTTCTTTTATAGTGCCCTGAAGAAAGAATGTGAAGTTTCTTTTTTGACTCAGTACAGATTGATAGAAATGCCCTTTTTATCTAATGCTTTACCCATTCTACTAGTACCGTATCGACTAATCGTAACTTCCCTATGAAAATATATTATTATGACAAGTTTGTCTAGAGCAACTACTTTTTTAAAGATTTCTTGGGGCATGTCCCAAATCACAGCAATATCACGGCCGGGGATACACGAAATGGGCTTCACACAATTTAACCTTTGAGAGGAATCGAACCTGGTGACAAGCGAAGGCTTTAACCACAAGGCTACCCTACCGCCCTTGGTCCAGTACTTTACGAAGGTTGCATTATTTGCCCGTATATGGTCAGTCCCGGGGAGGCGATTTGATAACAGTAAATGTTACCAGAAATTCAACCAATCAGGATGCCGTTCTGTCTCATTTAGTTGCCACACTGTTATCCGAATTCACCCTTAATCTACAGGACAACAGCAGACATGGAATATACCCCAAGCATGTTAGATATGTTGAAGTGGTTTTGTCTCAGTTGTCGCTGCTCGCCGTGCAGGTAACACCGGGGCACACCTGAAATCAATGTTCGTGGGTTTTCAGAAGGGTACCTGGGTTTTGGCAAAATGGTAAACGTCTGAGACAAACTGTCCACCCACGGAGTATACAACTGGACTACACTTCCAAACTGAGCCCGCTAACTGTGTGTTAGACGCGTTATTATATACCCATGTAAACTGAGGATAGTAATACAGGGGTGCAATACTGATGACGTCATCAAATTCCGTATTGCACCCCAGATTCCGTATTGAACCCCTGCCTGCCGTTATGATTTGTTTTATTAAGTAACAGATTAATGCAAGATAAGAGGGTATATAATATATAAAGAACGTCATACTAGCGCATTTGGATGTTTTGTATTGAACTCGAAGATGTCATGGGAGCAGAGAAACAACACGCTCGAACTCGTAGTTTCTCTGGTCCCATGACATCTTCGAGTTCAATACAAAACATCCAAATGCTCTAGTATGACATTCTATATATACTGAATATCATTGAAAACGCATTTATGAAAGTTCTGATTATTAAAAGCACGTGTAAGGAATTGATATTTTTTAAGTGGATAATAACAGATGGACGACTGACAAAAACAACAACACAGAAAAGACGCTCATTCACTGAAATGTTCCACAGTCACAAAGGATCAAACACACGTGGGGTCAATCGAAAAGTCAATATCGCGTGTGACCGCCATTTGCATTGACACATGCAGTTCAACGTCTCCTCGTTGAGTCAATAAGCGTCCGAATAGAGTTCTTGAGGATGGCATTCCACTTCTGCAGTAGTGCAGCCTCAAGTTCCCGGATGTTTCGCATCTGTTGTCGCTGCGAAAGACTTTGACCAATTTCGTCCCAAAAGTGCTCCATGGGGGATACATCTGGCGACTGTGCTGGCCAATGAATAACATGGATGTGTTGCTGGTCTAGATACTGCATGGAAAGTCTTGTTGTGTGTGCCCGTGCGTTGTCCTGTTGAAAAGTATGGACATCTTGGTGGTGATTGAAGACAGATACGATGTGATTTTGAAGTATCTGCTCACGGTAATAAAAGGCATTAACTCTCCCTTGACAGACATGAAGGCAGTCCTGTGATTGTAAATTATTCCACCCCAGACCATGACACTCCCACCACCCAAAGGTCTGTCTGAACCACACACTCATCAGCATAACGTTCACCACGTCTACGCCAAACACGTAATCGGCCGTCAGCATTACGTAGATGAAGACGTGACTCGTCAGTGACTACCACACCATGCCATTGTTGTAACCTTTACTGAAAATGCCTGCTAGCACATTGTATACGCTCATTACGGTGCCTGTCAGTCAGAATTGGTCCAACGTAGGGACATCGAGCATGGAGCCCTGTAGCGTGTAGACGGCGTCGCATGGAGTCAGCGCTGATGCCCCCACGTTGTTGCCAAGGTCATTGAAAGTCACGGGTGCTACCTGTCTACTGATGTCGTCTATGAAGCCTTACGATGGTGGAGTGGCTAAGTCCAAGTTGTCGAGAAATATCCCTGCTGCTGGTGCCAACCTGAATCATGCCTAGTGCACGTTCTCTTTCGTGAGGTGTTAACCTCGGCATCTCTGTCCTCGTTTCACAATCGTTAGTGAAGCAATGAGGATCGGTTCTCATACACCTGCTTTTAATGTCACAGTCAGTATGATTTCAGAATAAAATTCGCGCTTTTATCATGGCGTGGCTGTTTTGTTGATGCATTTTGGAATTAAGAGTCATACTGTGGACAGGAATTTGTTTCTAAAGAATTTTTTCAACTGGACATGTCCTTCGACTTCATGTTAGTTATATTCATTGATCATTGTCATGCTGAAATCCATCTTGATGAAAATATGGACAATTTTAGACTGGTGCGTTTTCAATGATGTTCAGTATATTTATGCTCCCCATGGCTATTTAAAAACTTTATTACTCACCTGTTGAAGTTATCACTGGTTAATAAATCAACAATGTTATTACACAGTGTACACATTCTGTACAACATCGCGTGCTGCCATAACTATTTGCACTCGGTCCCATGACCAAAGTAACCTGATCAAAACGAAATGTCGGCTGTCATTCCCAATACATTTCGAAGCCGCGATCTTCAACTGTTCTATGCTCGGTTGCGTGTAATAGCGCTTATATAAACAAAATGTCGGCTGTCATTCCCAATACATTTCGAAGCCGCGATCTTCAACTGTTCTTTGTTCGCTTGCGTGTAATAGCGCTTATATAAACAAAATGTCGGCTGTCATTCCCAATACATTTCGAAGCCGCGATCTTCAACTGTTCTTTGTTCGCTTGCGTGTAATAGCGCTTATATAAACAAAATGTCGGCTGTCATTCCCAATACATTTGGAAGCCGCGATCTTCAACTGTTCTATGCTCGGTTGCGTGTAATAGCGCTTATATAAACAAAATGTCGGCTGTCATTCCCAATACATTTCGAAGCCGCGATCTTCAACTGTTCTTTGCTCGGTTGCGTGTAATACCGCTTATATAAACAAAATACTGTGTTGGTTGAAGTGATATTTAGCTTATTTCATATTCCCTTGTTTATTTAAAAAAAAAAATTCAAATTAAGTAGACCAATGTTAACAATCATTAATGAAATGTGTTCGTACGCGTGACCCTGTTATGGCGGCGTAATGCACTCGTCCTGTAAGTTGAATTCTGAGATATTATTTTGCTAATGTAGGGTGAGTAATAAATAAAATACTAAACGATGTCCCGTGTAATACCATATTCATGAAACGAGTGAATGGTTTGGTATCTAACGAGCGAAAGCGAGTGTAATATGGTATTACACGGGACATCGTTTAGTATTCTCTATATATAACCCTTTGACGTCTGGGGCGATGGGGATAGCCTAGTGGTTAAAACGTCCGCTCGTCACGCTGAAGACCCGGGTTCGATTCCATACATGGGTACAATGTGTGAAGCCCATTTCTGGTGTCCCCAGCCGTGATATTGCTGGAATATTGCTAAAAGCGGCCATACTCAC